TCGAGAATTTGCAGAAATGACAGAATTAGTAAACAAACACATATAACAATTATTATAACTGTATTTCATATGTTCAAGAGGCTAAAGAAAAGACTGCACATGTTCAGTGTAGACATAAAAAGAGGTTTTTAAAAGACCTGGATCGAACTTCTAGGGGTGAAAATTACAATGTCTGAGATGAAAATACACTGGATGGGTTTAACAGCAGATTAGATATTGCAAAGGAGACTAATGAACTTGAAGAAAAACAAAATGAAACAGAGAGAGAACAAAAAACACAAAGAAAATGAAAAGAACATCAGTAAGCTGTGTGAAAACTTTGAGCAACCAATTCTATATGTAATTTAGATTCCCCCAAAGCAGGGGAGAGAAAGAAAAATTGGAAGAAATAACAAAGAGTTTCCATATTTGATTAAAATTATGAACTCACACATCCAAGATGCCCAATAAACCCAAAAACAAGAAACATGAAGAAAACTGTCAATGCAAAGTATAATTAAATTGCTTTAAACCAGAGAAAAAGAAAATCTTAAAAGCAGAGGAAAACAATACATTACATATAGAAGAACAAAGAATGACAGCAGTTTTTTAAAAATTTTGGTATCATTAATATACAATCACATCAGGAACATTGTGGTTACTAGATCCCCCCAGTATCAGTCCCCACCACATACCCCATTACAGTCACTGTCCATCAGCATAGTAAGATGCTAGAGTCACTACTTGAAGAATGACAGTTTTTCATTAGAAATAATGCAAGCTAGAATATAAAGCAGACCTTTAAAGTACTGAAAGAAAAATTGTCAATTTAAGCTTTTTTACTGAGTGCATATACCCTTCAAAAGCAAAAGTGAAATAGAGACTTTTTCCCCAGACACGCAAAAACTGAATTCATTACCTATAGACCTGCATTAACAAGTAATGTGAAGAGAGTCCTTTAAGCTGAAGATGTGACACAAGATGGAAAGCTGGATCTACACAAAGGAGCGATAAACAGCAGAAATGGTAATCATATAAGTAATTTTTTGGTAAAGGGCAGTGGAATGTTCACTTAAAAAAAATACACCACCACAGGCATACTTGTCCATTTTTTTTTTAACCACCTAAGTGTAATTAATCGGAGATTTTTATAAGCTTTTCATGTTATGCTTTTCATCTCCCTAAACTACATACTGTATTTTGGGAGCCAAAGAAAAGGACAGAAACAGAGGGAAATATATCAATGTTAAAACAACAAAACTGGAAAAGGAATAACAAGAAAAGATTTAATATGACATAAGCCCTTTTTCACAGCCTGATTCAATCAAAGGTATTTAATTCCAAGCCTTTTAGTGTATGGTATTTACCTTTGTCTAGGGCCACTCAACAAATAATTTCCTCCATTTCTCACAGTGGAAGATCTTAATGCAAGTGGGATCTTTTAGCTAAAGCAGAACAATGACTGCCATTTAAGGGTCTCAATAAATATTAGCATTAATGCTTCCCTAATACCAATTGCTTCTCTTTCCCTGAGTTACAGAACTTTCAAGTTTGACATCTGATAATTAAGAATACAAGTCTGAGTAAAATGTCTAAGCACTTGACACATTCTGTATGTGCACTTTTATCAAATGAGCTGGTCTATGAAATTAGTTAATTATCCAATATTTCTCTTTCTACTCTGTTCTCAGGAGAAAGGAAAAAGGCAATAGAGAGAAAATATGTGAAAAGTGAATTATTTTAAACTCTTTTAAGGTATATTCAAGACTCAGTAGAATAGCATTACAATATTCTAAATCTTCATTTCTAACACTATAGAGTCAATGGTCAGAAGGACATAGAATCTTACTGTGGATAAAATGAGAGTTCCTGTGGCCAGGATTCTCACCTGGCCCTGGTTGACTAGCTCACTACACACCTGTGGGCAATACATGGCTGCTGACTCTACATAAAGAGCTCTGTCCAGTGCTCTGGGTGCTACATGGTGGCAGGGCTGTAAGGCTGTAGGAGAGCTGAACAGAGGCTGGAGTGGTGGCAGCACTGAGGACAGAGGCCCAGAGGACGGCTGTGTGGGATGGCTGTGCAGAGAAGCCCAGAGGACAGCTGTGTAGACAGAGGGGCCCAGAGGCAGAGACTGGCTTGCTGCATGCAGACTCGCTCTGAGTGAATGGGATTCTAGTGACTGACGTGCCACCTGGAAATAAAGTTGGGTATAACCCTTTCACCTCAAAGAACGTTTTGCTGTCATTTTCTTTGGTCACACTGAATCCATAGTGAACTTGCCCAAGGCTGAAACCCATTGGCAAGACAACTGGCATAGTCGGCAGGATTCACTGTTGACCAAGGAAAAAGACAGGCTTCCCTATGGGAGGGGTGTTTCAGCAGGCTGCCCCTGTGAATGGGGAGACAGTGGATCATCCCCCAATGGGTATGTGGTCTGAGGTGGCTTGCCTCCTAGAGAACTGGGCCCCACCCTAGGACTGGAGGCAAGTGGGGGTGACACCTGAGGCAGTAGGGGTGGCCCTTGGTATACTAAGCAGATCCTTTGAGAAGCAGAGTGCCCAGGAGGCAATGGGGACTGTGGGTTGGCTGCTTCTCACAGTATTAAGAAAGTCTACAGAGATGACCAAAGAAATGGCAGCACAAGAATGCGAGCTGCAAACTTCTGTTGATTCCCTGAGGAAGGAGATGGCATTGATGCAGGAGGAGGCAGCACGAGAGTGCCAGCAGCAAGGTGCTATTGGAGACGAGACACCAGCACTGCCACGTGTTCTGAAGGAGGAAGAGGCCATCAAGGAAAAAGACAAACTCCTGAGGGAAGCACAGGCAGAGGTGGCACAAGAACGTCAGCTGTGAAGCATTGAGCTGAAGGTAAGGGAGCTTCTGAAGACTGAGCTGGCATTGCTCTGAGGCATTGTAGCAGAGGAGGCACTTGGGGGAGTGGAGAGAAAGGTGCCATCAGTCTCAGAAATGGAGGAGCTGGGGAAAGATGAAGGGGCAGTGCCGGAGGCCCTGGCTCCTCCTGTATTGAAAGCACCCCCAGTGGCTGTAAAGAAAATAAAGACCCAGCAGCTGAAAGTTCCCCAAGGAGAGGAGCAGCCCCCCTCCCCAGGTCATGGAGCACTCTATGGTCTGCCCCCATACTCAGGCTGAGCCGGTGGCTGTGGGACTTAGGGGTGAATGGAACTGTTCTGTCGGGATCAGAGATGGGAAAGCTGTCTTCCCTGACAGTGAAGCCTGCCTTGAGGCAGCGATTACAAAATGCAAGGTGACACATACAGTAGCTGAAGCAATGAGAACCCAGAAGGAAATAAGACCTGTTACTCACAGGAGGAATTTGGGGGGCCTCGTAAGGGTTATGAGGACCCAGATGTGGCTGATTTGATACAAGCAGTAGTAGATGGAAGGAAATTAGATGGGACTGGAGCTATGGCAACAACTAAAACCAGTGCAGCCATTCAAGCCATTAAGACTAAAGAGGCAGAGGTCAGAGACAGAGCCACGAGTTGAGCCTGTGTGTCTGCAAGACTTTGCTGGAGAGGCTGGAGAACAATGTTCGAGCTTCCTTGCACAGGGACCATAAAGAGGACTAAGGGAACATAGACAGAGAGGCGAGAATCCTGGAGGGGTGGAGTGTGGATAAAATGAGAGGTCCTGTGGTCAGGATTCTCACCTGGCCGTGTTTGACTAGCTTACTGCACACCTGTGGGCAATACACAACTGTTGACTCTAAAAAGATCTCTGCCCAGTGCTCTGAGCATGACACTGTGGCAGGGCTGCAAGGCTGCAGGAGAGCAGAGCAGAGGCTGGAGTGGTGGCAGCGCCAAGGAGAGAGGCCCAGAGGATGGCTGTGCAGAACGACTGTACAGAGAGGCTCAGAAGACGGCTGTGTGGGACGGCTGTACATGCAGAGAGGCCCAGAGGACAGCTGTGCAGACAGAGGGGCCCAGAGGCAGAGACTGGCTTGCTGTATGCAGACTTGCTCTGAGTGAATGGGACTCTAGTGACTGACGTGCCACCTGGAAATAAAGTTGGGTATAACCCTTTCACCCCAAGAACACTTTACTGTCATTTTCTTTGGTCACATTGAATCCATAGTGAACTTGTCTGGGGCTGAAACCCATTGGCAAGACACTGCTGCATAAAACTGTATCATACATAAGAAAGAATATCAGAACATTGGGTTAATACATTATCTTGCCAATGGGTTTCAGCACCAGGCAAGTTCGTTATGGATTCAATGTGACCAAAGAAATTGACAGCAAAATGTTCTTTGGGGTGAAAGGGTTTATTACCTGTCTAGTTCTCCCAGTGGTAGGTGGAGCACTAGCGTCTCTGCCTCCGCCCACAGCATGGGCGAGTTCTCTCTATAGCGCAATAACAGCTTATTGCCCACAGGTGTGGAAGCGGTAGCCTAGCAATAGGCCAGTTACATCATCAGGTGGTTTAAGTTCAGTGAGGATCCTGGCCATAAGAACCCCAACTTCCCCACACACATACATGTTAATTAATAGACTTTCAACAAGGATTGAAGCAAAATGGATTAACCTTTAACTTAACTAAAACAGTGCTTTCCAAATTATGATGTCACACAGGCGATATAAGGCCACACTGGAAGGTGAAGGGCATTTGAGTACTGAGATTAAAAATGCTGCATTCTCATTTCAACATAAGCACCTTGTTTATTTTTATGCTATCTATGGGGGTTCTACTGGATTTTTTTTAAAAAAGGAGGAAAGGGTAGATTACCTGATTCAAACAAAATTATTTTATGTATTTCAGAAACATAACCTTAACTTACTAAACATTTTAAATCAAAAGATATTTTTATATCACAATATAGTCTTTTGAAAAAACCTTTCCATTTATTATAAAACATGAAATGCCCAGCCAAAATATTACCACTACTAAAAGTTATACTAAAAAGCCATTCAGTCAGTAACTTTCAAGTTTGGAAAGCACTAAACAAAATGTTTCCTGAAAAATACTTTTTAAAATTTAATAAGAAATTATGGTCTCACCTGTACAGCACTATTAAGAAAGCAGTTGTTTTGTCCTGGTTCATTTAACAAGCCTTTGGTAGGGGCTAAGGATAGCATACTCCCAGATTGATAGACTTTTCCAAGATTGCCACCAGGTTTCCGTAAGAATTTTACCCATGCCATTTTCAAGCAACTTTGCTGGCATGAAAGCTAAGAATTATATACTTATGTGATATTTCTGATGATAAAATGGATGATGTCTTGAATTGTCCACTGAAGTTCACTGCAGTCTATTATAGTAACAGAAGTTTCCAAGTTCATATCTTTCCTGATGCTGTAAATTTTTGAGGACTTTGTCAAGCAAAAATAGGGTACATAAACACTGAAGTACCAAAAGCTAAGAACCTATTTCAAGCAAGGCTTATATATTTTATATATGTTAAATTTCATAAGAAAACAGTAGTTTAAGATGACAAAGATTTTTTTAATTGCTAAAAATAATGTTGATGAACAAATAATTTTCTTTAAAGCACAAGCAATTTGTCTTGATGGATTAAAAAATAGACAAAAAATTGTAGAGTGACATTTGGCATAATTCCTTTGGTCATTTGTTTCCTTATTTTTTTAAATAAGAAAGAAGACTCTCTGTCACAGGTGAAGTTATCAAAGGTGGCTCCATATTTCATATCAATGTGACCTCAAAGCAAATCTACAAGAAAGAAAAGAAATGTTTAAGTAAAAGTAAAAGCTAATCAAAAAAATTCCTGCTTTGATATTTGAACACCAATATTACATATATAATTAAAATACAGAATATAAAATCATAAAAGGATTAGAACTAATGCTCTAAAATATGAAAATGAAAACAGTTCATTAATTTTTTTTTCAAAATACAATGTGCGTCAATTATTACCTACTTCAATATTTCAACGGTCATACAATGGTTTCATAAGGAAAATATTCTACATTAAAGTAGAGTTAAATTCAAATCTGAGGCAGTATTTTGAAAAGTGCTAACTTTGCTGTCAATACTAAATTGCTTTGTTTATTAAAACAAATGCACATACAGTGACTCTATACTGTTATATATCTCACACAAAATCATCTCATTTTTCCAATGAAGTCAGTGGATTTTAATGTAAATAGATATGCATTAAAACTCAGAAGAAATATTGAATTGATAAACAAATCTTAGTGAATTAAATTTCCACATTATTGATCAATGCATGTGTCTGGCTAAAGGAATTTTAAATGTCAACTTCTTAATTAAAAACAGTCAAGTATTGGGGGTGGAGCCAAGATGGCAGCATGAGTAGAGCAGCAGAAATCTCCTCCCAAAACCATATATATATTTGAAAATACAACAAATACAACTATTCCTAAAAGAGACTAGAAGACACAGGACAACAGCCAGACTACATTACACCTGCAAAAACCCAGCACCTCGCGAAGGGGGTAAGATACAAGCTGCGGCCCAGCGGGACCCAAGCGCCCCTCACCCCAGCTCCCAGCAGGCGGAGAGGAGTCGGAGGAGGGAGGGAGAGGGAGCCCAGGACTGCTAAACACCCAGCCCCAGCCATCCGCACCAGAGCACAGACACAGTGCATGCGGGGGATCCTGGATACTAGGGAAACAGGACAGTAAGACCTGTGAGCTAATCCCTGCGGCCAGCACCCCTGGGACAAAGAAAAGAGAGTGCTTTTTGAAAGTTTTAAAGGGACAGGACCCCACTGCTGGACAGAAGTGTCCCGGGACACATAGCCTAGCAGCTGGGAAACCCAGGGAACTCCGGGTGCCCTCACCCCCTGGACAGCAGCACAGATCAGAGGCCCCTCACGGCGATAAACAGCCTCCCGCCTATTTCCCCTCCGATGCGGCTCTGCCATATTGGAGCAGCAGACTGAGGTCTGCCACGCCCATAGCAACTACAGAGCTTAACTCCACAGCAACTGCTGAGCTTAACTCCACAGTGGCCCGGCAAGAATCAGAGGTCCCGTCTGCGCACTTCCCAGCACAAGCCGCTAGAGGTTGCGGTTCTCCCAGAAAAGAAAGGCCACAAACCAGCAAGAAGAGATGTTCTCCCAGCCGACACACGTACCAGCTTCCAGCAACAACCTCTATAGCTATGAAAAGGCAGAAAAATTTGATACAGGCCAGATTAACCCAGACAGTCTCCCCTGAGAAGGAATCTGGGGAGACAGACCTAACCAATCTCCCTGAAAAAGAATTCAAAATAAAGGACATAACCATGCTGACAGAGCTGCAGAGAAATATGCAAGAGCTAAGGTATGACATCCAGAGGGAGATTACAGAAATGAAACAATCTCTGGAAGGATTTATAAGCAGAATGGATAAGATACAAGAGGCCATTGATGGAATGAAAACCAGAGAACAGGAACGCATAGAAGGTGACGGAGAGAGACATAAAAGGATCACCAGGAATGAAACGATATTAAGAGAACTGTGTGACCAATCCAGAAGGAACAATATCCGTATTATAGGGGTAGCACAAGAAGAAGAGAGAGAAAAAGGGATGGAAAGTGTATTTGAAGAAATAATTGCTGAAAACTTCCCCAAACTGGGGGAGGAAATAATTGATCAGACCATGGAAGTACACAGAACTCCCAACAGAAGAAACCCAAGGAGGACAACACTAAGACACATAATAATTAAAACGGCAAAGATCAAGGACAAGGACAGAGTTTTAAAGGCAGCTAGAGAGAGGAAAAAGATCACCTACAAAGGAAAACCCATCAGGCTATCATCAGACTTCTCAACAGAAACCTTACAGGCCAGAAGAGAATGGCATGATATATTTAATGCAATGAAACAGAAGGGGCTTGAACCAAGAATACTGTCTCCAGCATGATTATCATTTAAATATGAAGGAGAGATTAAACAATTCCCAGACAAGCAAAAGTTGAGGGAATTTGCCTCCCACAAACCACCTCTACAGGGCATTTTAGAGGGACTGCTCCAGATGGGAGCACTGCTAAGACTAAATAGATGTCACCAGAGAAAATAAAATCACAGCAAAGGAAGCAGATGAACCAAATACTAACTAAAGGCAAAAAATAAAATCAACTACCCACAAAAGCAGTCAAAGGAAACACAAAGAGCACAGAATAAAACAACCAACATATAAAGAATGGAGGAGGAGGAATAAGAAGGGAGAGAAATAAAGAATCACCAGTGTTTATAACAGCTCAATAAGCGAATAAAGTTAGACAGTAAGATATAAAGAAGCGAACCTTGAACCTTTGGTAACCATGAATCTAAAGCCTGCAATGGCAATAAGTACATATCTCTCAATAATCACCCTAAATGTAAATGGACTGAATGCACCAATCAAAAGAAACAGAGTAACAGAAAGGATAAAAAAGCAAGACCCATCTATATGCTGCTACAAGAAACTCACCTCAAACCCAAAGACATGCACAGACTAAAAGCCAAGGGATGGAAAAAGATATTTCATGCAAACAACAGGGAGAAAAAAGCAGGCGTTGCAGTACTAGTACCAGACAAAATAGACGCCAAAAGAAAGAAAGTAACAAGAGGTAAAGAAGGACATTACACAATGATAAAGGGCTCAGTCCAACAAGAGGACATAACCATTATAAATATATATGCACCCAATACAGGAGCACAGGCATATGTGAAACAAATACTAACAGAACTAAAGGATGAAATAGAATGCAATGCATTCATTGTAGGAGACTTCAATACACCACTCACTCCAAAGGATAGATCCACCAGACAGAAAATAAGAACACAGAGGTATTGAACAACACACTAGAACAGATGGACCTAATAGACATCTATAGAACTCTACACCAAACGCAACAGGATACATATTCTTCTCAAGTGCACATGGAACATTCTACAGAATAGACCACATACTAGGCCACAAAAGGAGCTGCAGTAAATTCAAAAAGACTGAAATCCTACCAAACAACTTTTCAGACCACAAAGGAATAAAACTAGAAATAAATTGTACAAAGAAAACAAAAAGGCTCACAAACACATGGAGGCTTAACAACACACTTCTAAATATTCAATGGATCAATGAACAAATTAAAATAGAGATCAAGGAATATATGGAAACAAATAACAATAACAACACAAAGCCCCAACTTCCGTGGGGCACAGCAAAGGCAGTCTTAAGAGGAATGTATATACCAATCCAAGTATACTTAAAGAAGGAAGCACATTCCCAAATGAATAATCTAACATCACAATTATCAAAATTGGAAAAAGAAAAACAAATGAGGCCTAAAGTCTGCAAAAGGAGGGACATAATACAGATCAGAGAACAAATAAACAAAATTGAGAAGAAAACAATAGAAAAAATCAATGAAACCAAGAGCTGGTTCTTTGAGAAATAAACAAAATAGATAAACCTCGAGCCAAACTTATTAAGAGAAAAAGAGAATCAACACACATCAACAGAATCAGAAACGAGAAAGGAAAAATAACGACAGACTCCACAGAAATACAAAGAATTATTAGAGACTACTATGAAAACCTATATGCTAACGAGCTGGAAAACCTAGGAGAAATGGACAACTCCCTAGAAAAATACAACCTTCCAAGACTGACCAAGGAAGAAACACAAAATTTAAACAAACCAATTACGAGCAAAGAAATTGAAGTGGTAATCAAAAAACTACCCAAGAACAAAACACCCAGGCCAGATGGATTTACCTTGGAATTTTATCAGACATACAGAGAAGACATAATACTCATTCTCCTTAAAGTTTTCCAAAAAATAGAAGAGGAGGGAATATTTCCAAACTCATTCTATGAAGCCAACATCACCCTAATACCAAAACCAGGCAAAAACCCCACCAAAAAAGAAAATTACAGACCAATATTCTAATGAATGTAAATGCAAAAATACTCAACAAAATATCAGCAAACCGAATTCAAAAATATATCAAAAGGATCATACACCACGACCATGTGGGATTCATCCCAAGGGATGCAAGGATGGTACAACATTTGAAAATCCATCAACATCATCCACGACATCAACAAAAAGAAGGACAAAAACTACATGATCATCTCCATAGATGCTGAAAAAGCATTCGACAAAATTCAACATCCATTCATGATAAAAACTCTCCGAAAAATGGGTACAGAGGGCAACTACCTCAACATAATAAAGAGCATATATGATAAACCCACAGCCAACATCATACTGAACAGCGAGAAGCTGAAAGCTTTTCCTCTGAGATCAGGAACAAGACAGGGATGCCCACTTTCCCTACTGTTATTTAACATAGTTCTGGAGGTCCAACCATGGCAATCAGACAAAACAAAGAAATACAAGGAATCCAGAATCGTAAAGAAGAAGTTAAACTGTCACTATTTGCAGATGACATGATATTATACATAAAAAACCCTAAAGACTCCACTCCAAAACTACTAGAACTGATATCGGAATACAGCAAAGTTGCAGGATACAAAATTAACACACAGAAATCTGTGGCTTTCCTATACACTAACAATGAACCAATAGAAAGAGAAATCAGGAAAACAATTCCATTCACAATTGCATCAAAAAGAATAAAA